AAAAAAAAAAAAAAAAAAAAAAAAACTACACCACACAGGAAGAGAAGCTAGGCACAATGGGTCCCAACCTTCTGAGCCAAGGAGACCAATAACTCCCCACACCCCCACCCGGGCATCCAAGTGCAGCCACAGCATAGTCCCAGGTTCTCTTGCTTTCCCTAGGCCACCACATGCTGGCGAGGAACAGACCTCTAAGCCTTACCTCCTCCCCACTGTGCCCCTAACATTCCGGATGCTTTGAATTCTGAGAAACAATGCTCCTGGTTTCAGTAAAACCTTCCTTCAGGACCCCTGGTTTGGAGGTAGACAAAAACTTCATTCCCTCAGCCCAAACATTTGCACAACACAAGGAGAAATGCCCTAGGAAAACAAGGTGTTGGAAGTTCCCTTTCATCAGACAAAAAATGCACTATAAAGAAACTAATTAAAAACAATTTTAAAACAAATTCATTACAGGGAATTTGTGCAGGTTGGTCACACTGACTCAGAAAAACAAACCAAAAAACCCCACCAGTATGGACTCCACCACAAAACTAAGATACACACCACTTCCACTGTTGGTCATGTATCGCAGTTTTTTGCAGAAAAAACATTTTTCAATGAGAAAGTTAATATATAAAATATACATACTCCCAATGAAACATAATTATTTAAAATAAAAACTGTAAAGACCTCCAATAAAAAAAAAATAGTAGTAACGTGCTAAAGAAAGCAGAATTCAAAGAGCAATCCGATTATCAATGTTAGGACATACTACAATGAGGCACAGAAGGCAGAGAAGGCAAATGGTGGCTTACCATTTTGTTTTCATTTGGGTATTTTGTTATTAATTATACAATTTTAAAAGTCATGAAAAAATCACTGCTATGTAACCAGGTACGGTGGCACATGCCTATGATCCCAGCACTCCAGGAGGCTGAGGCAGGGGGATCTCAACTTCAAGACTAGCCTGGGCAACTTATCAAGATGTGGCTCAGTGGGAAGGCCCCAGGTTCAAACCCCAGTACCACCATCTCCAAAAAAAAGAACTGATTTACAGAAAGTATGAAGTAAAATCTGGACCAGACTTGCTGCTGCTAAGACCCCAGGCCTCTCAGGTTCAAGGGAGTGAGTGACACCCCCTATCCTTGAGCATCTCAGCCACACCCTAAATTAGGCAAAGATTTCTCCCCTCATTCCTTCAGGGAAAGTTTCAGGATCCGGCCACCCGAGTTTCTCGCCAAGGTTCAGGCAGAGTTTCTGAGGACAGAATCCTTGCTGAGCTCTGCTCCTGTAAACCGCCTTGGGCAAATTAGCCAATTTAGCCTTATCTTTAAAATGTAGATAATACAAGGGCTTCACAGCGCTCCAGAAATGATGAAACCATAGCTCTAAGTACACAGCAAAGCTTGACCTTTAAAAGGAAGTGATAGTTTCCAGGTATGGAGGTGGGGCGGGGCCTCTCAAGGTCTCCTCCCACTTCCCCACGCGCCAGGCTACAAAGAAGCCTGCAGCACAGAGCAGAAGCTGAGCTCAGCAAAGGCAGGAGGGCGGTGAGGGCCAGGGGATCGGGGAAGGTGAAGAGATGGCTTTGTTCTTCCACCAAGACAACACTTGACACTTAATAGGTGCTAAGTGAATATCTAATAAGCTAATCTAGTCAGCAAGTCCTCTGATAATCATACAACAAACTGGGCAGAAAAGATGAACCATTCATTGAACGAACACTCTGGCTCTTGCACAGTGAGACTCACTGATACATTTTAAGGCTGCACACACGGTGCTAGCATTTACTACCATAGAAGATAAGCTGCTGAGTGTTAACTCTGGTTACACTTACCAAATATGCCTCTGACTTCTATTTCAAAATATTCACAAATCACAGCTTCCCATAAACAAAAAGCAATAAAATAGTCTCATTTATATATTTTCTTACAAAGTAGTGACTTTGGTGAGTATTAACTCCACTTTCACAAGTAAAGCTGGAAGTCTTTTATAAAACAAAATTGGGTCTTAGAAGTAAAAATTCTAAATTATAACTCCTACAGGGCTAAGGAGTAAAGAAAAACTCAAGCCATTTAAAATTAATATGCTTGGACTCTACTAGCCAAATGGTTTCACTGCTGTTTCATTAACATACTCTTAACAGTCGCACATTATTTTACATCACGTAACACCTCACGGTTTTTTGTCCTGAGTATCCGATGAGATCTGCCATTATCTCTGAGAATTCAGCACTGCTATGGGGAATTAGCCTTTTAAATACAATTGAAAGGGCAAATCACAGTCCTTCCAGAATCACAAACGAGCCCCCTCTGTTACCAGCTTCTGGGGCTCTGGTCTCACCTTTTAAAGAGCCACGAGATCAGCTCAGAAGGGTGCACTTTGTAGCCCTGAGGTCAACACCAGAAAAAGTCCCCTTTAACCCTTCAACAGCAAGCCTCATGCATACTCATGAAACATTTAGCATCATTTCCTCCTCAAAGGGTCCAACCTGCACCCTAGAGCTACAAGAGTAAAAGGAGGTTGGTGGCCCTCAGGACCTACCAGTTTATCTGCTGGGAAGTGGAGGCACCCACCTCCAGCCCCTGGGAGCTGCAGCACAGTGGAGAGCTGAAGGTCACACCCTTGCCTTCTCTAGGTATTGTTTCTGTCTCTCAACATGAAAGCACAAAGGTAAAGTGGTCGGTCCAAGCAAGACCAGAGTCCACAGCAGGCATGATCACTGTCTGAGGACATCAAATCCCACAACTGCTGGGCCACAGAAAAGCAGACCCGGAAGCAGTTCAGTGAGCATCTCCTCCCCTCTCACTACCATTCCACCTAAGCTGCTTTGCTGGAACACCTTGCAGCTCTGTGCTTTCCAGGGGATGGAAATGTTTCCATAAGCCTGGAGGACACAAATTTAACAGCTTGCTGTGCCTGAAACTTCCACTAAATGCTTATGCGGTCACCTGCTCATCCCCCAGAAACCCTCAGCTAACGTAAAGAGTATATAATCTGCTCACACTTAAATTATGACAAACAGGTACATTTACACTGGAAAAATCACATCTTACTTGTGCTGCCAATTAGATCTTTAGAAAAGAAAAAAAGACCATCTCACATATAGTTAATTTGCCCTAACTGATGCATAATTGGTCTTATGTGGATTGCCTCCAAGTGGTAAACAGTTTTAACAATTTAGAACTACCAAAGAATCAGCCTCATTCTTTGACAGTAAATGTTCCCTTCCAACTACACCTTCTGGGGCTATTTCCAAACCATGAACTAGGGATCCAAGTGATCGAAGTGCAAAGAACTTTCAAACAGAAGCAAAAGGTTTCAGGAGCACACATAATGATACATTTTCCAATAAAATGCACAAGCAGCCCAACTCTCCTTCCAAAGGTGCTTTTGAGTTTGCTTTGTTTTGTTCTTTATATTTTAAATCTTGGAGAAGCCGAAACTTCTGGAGGCACAGGATGCCAATAAAGGGCAAAGGCAAACGCCCACACACAATCTAACCTTTAGGGTTGTTTACTGTTCGTGCTTTTCATACCCCTCTCCACTGGAGAATTTTGACAATACTTTCTCACAAACATACACAACAGCAGATTTTTCTCAAGTGTCCACCTTCAAGAAGGCTTTTGGAAATTACTAAGGAGCCAAAGCGACCATGAGTGACGAACGTGCCACCAGCCAGGTGCCAGGGGCCTGGGCAGGCGGGGTCTCCTAGGTCCTGGCCACCGCCTCTTCACCGGGCCCCAGCGCCCAGGTGAGGAAAAGGTAACCACGAAGGGACGAGAAGGCGGAAGCATGGAGACGCTCACCAAAGGCAGAAGAGACCCTCGTACAAACCATCTCAGGACGCCACACCGGCGGGCGGCGTGGCTGTTTCCTTCCCTTTTTATTATTTTTAGTCCTTTCGAAGAAACTTTTTTACTGCCTTCTTCTGAATAAAAATGTCGTTTTATTCTAAATAGTTCATTTAAAAGTAGAGGGAAAAAAACACCTTGAAAACACCTTCAGATCCCCACCACCAACTGCAGCGTCCAGGGAACTTACTCTCAAGTGTTTGTTAATGGATTTTAAAGCCTAGTTAGGCCCATAATGCGTAATTGGGATCGTGCTGAGTATTATGATTTGGAATCTTGCAGCTGTTTGTTTTTAAACTTCGCCTAATGGCATTGCTATTTCCCCCGCAAGTGGTTACAAATTCCTTGAAAACGTGAAAGATCTAGAACAAACACAAAAGCAATTCCTTTTTAACGCCATTACCGAAGTTGGGCTGGTCTGACTTTATGCTATTTTTTTCCTTTTAGAAAATGGCAGTTTTGTTAAACTTCCTTATCGCTGTGCCAATTTCTGCAAGAAAGGTACCATACCAAAAAGCTCCCCCTCCCCCACCCAGGTCTCGGGAGCACAGCAAACGCAGGCGCTGCGCCCCCGCTGCACCTCCCCGGAGAGGCCCCACACCTGGGGTCTGCGCCCCCTTCGACCCGGCCCAGACCCTCGAGTCCGAGTGACCGGCGGGATCCAGCGCGTATCGCCGCAGGGCGCGCCCGCTCCGGCGTTCACTGGACAAGCACGCCCGAAGCTCAGCGCCCCGCCAAGGGCCACGTTTCCAGTCCAAGGCCGAGGGCGGCATCGGGGCGTTAAGGAAAAGCAGCCGTAGGGCCGTCCAGACCCTCACCTGGGAGCGAGTCGCCAACTCCATCTTCCTAACGGAGCTCCAGCTTCCTCCTAGCACGTGGTCGCGGGGGCCTGGCTGGCCACAAGCGCGGCGCTCGGAGAATGGCCTGGGGCCGTGCGGCCAGCGCGCTCCGCCCGCAACTCGGGCGGGCCAGGGAGGGGCGCACTCGGCGCCCAGGCCGGGGGGAATCGCGCCGCACCGCCTGCCCGCGCCGTCTCGCCGGGCCTGGAGCCGCAGGTCACTGGCCCACCTCCGTGACCGGCGCACTTGGCTTCCCGAGCGGCTAGAGGCTGGGCTGCGCTGCTGCACGGCAGGCGGTGGCAGCCGCGGTTTGCGCGCCGGGCTCCCCCCTGCCGCGAAGGGAGGGAGTGGAGCGGTCCGGCGCGAGGCGGGGAAGGGGGCAGTCCCGGCTCAGCCTCCAGCTGGCACGCCTGGGGCTCGCGTGTCGCAGACTTGCTGGGCTCCGTCCAGCTCGTGCCATGGAGCGCGAGCCTCGGCTGCAATCTGCATCCCTAGATCCGGGAAAGAATTTTAGGGCGGCTTCAGAGCTTGTTTTGTCTTGGTAGTGGTGTGAAGGGGTGGAGTCTGCCGCCTGCCAAAACATTTGTTACTCTCTTCACTTTGCAAAACTGGCAACCCAAGTTTCTTTATCGAGGCCCGGGGTCGGGAGCTGCAACCCCCACGCTGAAACTGTAGGCGGCCTCGTGCAGCGTGGCAAGCTAGGCCTCCCCCACGGGACGGTTCCTGGGTGGCGCCCACCACCTACCAGGCACTGGGGTGGACCTGGGAACAGGGTGAACAAATATCCGACCCCTGCTGTGTTGGAGTTTGTGATCTGGGAGCCAGTTACCAACGGAATGATATAAAGAAGTGTGCTAATAAATTACAAGTATAATAATAGTGATAATCCTGTGATTTTATTACTTTGATAATGGCATTCATATTAATCTGATCATAACCGCTAATGATGATTAATGGAGTAATGATGGTGCATATTGATACAAATGTGGGGTGATGTTAGATGCCGTCAGGAAAAACTAAGTGAAATTAAGGTGGCATAAAATACGGAGTAAATTTGGCAAAGGAGAAGAAAGGCTTCTTAGAGCTCATGTACAAGGGGAGAAGAATTGAAAGAGATAGTGGACAGCCTAAAGTATAGGTATTGGTGAGGCTGGCAAATGAGGTCCTAAAGTCAGTGCTGAAAGCCTACTTAGCACTATGGTCTTGAGTACAAAGTGAAACAGTCCCAAGTGTAAGAAGTTGGCCATACATTTACCCAAGCTTGAAGAAAAACCACCTGTGACCTCCTTGCTTTCTTGCTTAGTTGAGCAAACACGTGTTACATGTTTTCTGGGGGTGCTAAGATTAATAAAACATTGATTTACGAAAAAAATTTTATTGGATAATATAAATTATGATTACAGCTACTTTCATGTTTATTATAGAAATTTCCTTCACATACAGTATCTCCTTGAATCCTCTCAACATTCTTGCAGATTCTTACTATCCACGCTTTTAGAATAAAGACTCAGAAGTTAAGGTACATTAAGAGAAAAACTATTGCCACCCTGCCAGTAAGTGACAGCACCAGACTGCCAAACTGGAAACCATATTTTATGCTTCCACAAGCAACATTCTTTCCCTTTTCTTTACTCTTTCCTGTAGGCTGCCAAGACACTGAGTAAAATTTATTTAGAGGTGTTCTCCCCCACCACCACTACCCCGTGATTCAATGATTTTATTCGCATTTACTTCTTTTCATTGTAATTTAAATCCCTTTTTAAAGTGGAATATAAATCTTAAGTAGGTCATAGATTTTGCAAAGCACTTGAAGGAGCCTCGCTCAGCTATTATTTGGAAACCTATAGATTTAGAAATCTCCCATAAGCCTTCAGGTAGCAACCCAGAAACTTACTTCCTGTGCCCAGAAAAGCCCATGCACTCGAACAGTATTTTATAATTGAGTGCACAATGATGTATTTTGTTGGCAAGGGCTGGTTCCATTCTGCTCAGGAAAATTTCTAAAGAATCAATGGATTTTAACACCACCCTATGATAATGCTTTTTGTTAATGACTACTGATGGAGTGAACAAAGGGTGAACATCAACTTCCAGTAGGCACTGCAAGAATGAGGGTCCTTCACAGAACCAATACTATAGATATTTCAACAGAGAAAAAGGCAACATAGAGACTGCAAATAAATTCCTTCAAGTCTCTGTCTCCAAGTCTATGCTTGCTAGCTTTTATAATGTTTATATGAGAAAATAAGAAACTATCTTGAACAGGTAAGCAATTTGTGATTCAAGGCTGAAGGAGTTAAGAACATACCACTCCAAAATATGTTGCTCTGACATGGTGATGATTTTCACTTAAAGATATTTTTTAAAAAGTAGTCCATGCAAGATCATATTGACCTTTGTGCTACTTCTGAAAGCTGAAATTCCCGGGAAAGATGCCTCTTGTACCAAAAGGAAAGCAACATTGTTATCAAAGACAGGAAATAGAAGCCTAGGAAGATCTGAATAGACCAACCTTGTGAAACTCACCATTATCTTTAGCCACTTCACCCAATTAACTGCCCTAGCCAAAGCCCTTTGCCTTATCACATTTTTACATGTTCAATTTTAATTGCATCTTAGGGTCTACATTTCCTTAGGATGACTCCCATGCCACCCAAAACTTGTATGGAAATAAACGTGTATGATTTTCTAGTAATCTCTCTCATGTCAGTTTAACTCTGGGACCCAGCTGAGACCTGGAGAGGACGGAGGTGGAGTTTTGCCTGAGCTACAAAACTGACATTGAACCTACTTTAAATGAGGAGGGAGAGTTGTGATTGGATGTCAGCCCTGGCCCACAGTATGTGCTTTGTACAAGGAGTCCACACCTCCCTACTCTGAATTAGCACTGCCCTTCCTACAAAGTTTAGTTGTGGATAAACTGTCCAATCCATCTTTTATAGGGGTTGGGGATTTAGCTCAGTGGTTCTGGCACCTGAGCACAAATGGAAGGTCTTGAGTTCAATCCCTGGTACCGGAAAAAAAAAAATCGATCTTTTATAAAAAGTCTTGCTAGTTTGGTGCTCTGGATAACTCAGAAAAGAATCTACTTTTGTTGGAGAGCTGGAAGCAATGTGGATAATACCTGAATACTGCTTGGCATCACATTTGACCATTAAAGTGACAGCTACACTCCTTAACACCTGGGTTGGTCTCTTATCTTTTAGTCTCTTGAAACTTCCATCTCATTGTGATTAGCCTTGAAAAGAGCGATATCCCTAAATTTGAGTGAGTTCCACATCTACTTCTCAAAAGTAGTGTTACGGAAAGAAATGAAATAATATTTGCAAAGCATCTGGGATTTCTTAGAGATCCTATATGAATGGCAAATATGACATATATATTTCATTGGCTTTTGTAATATATGTTATGCTATTTATAATTCAGCCTAAAACATAAAATGATTTTAATTAGGCACTGACAACAAAAGGATGAAAACAGATTTTGAAACAGGATCTCACTAGTTTTAAGCTGGTCTTGAATTCATTTGTAGCCTAGGCTGGCCTCGAGATCATAGTGACACTCCTGCTTCAGCCTCCTAAGTGCTGAATCAAGGCGTGTGTCATTATGCCCAGCACAGAAAAACAAAACTTTGTTTCAGGTATGGTCAGTAATCATAGTAACTTGCTAACCCTGATTCACAGCATATGAGAAACAATAGAATGTCTTGGACCATAAAATGGAAATTTGGGTTTCAGAAATGTAAATCTTCTCTAAATAGTTGCCTCTACAAATATTTTACAGGGTTTTTTGGGGGGGTTTTTTTGGTACCGGGGATTGAACTTGGGACCTTGCTCTTGCACGGTAGGCGCCAGAACCATGGAGCTAAATCCCCGGCCCATACAGTTTTGAGGGGGGAAAAACTCATCACCTTTCACACTTTGTGAAATCTCCAGTTGTTACCTTTATCCTTTTTCACTTGGAATTATCAGATACTGATATTCCAGACATAGGGCCAAATCACATTTGTGACAGCAGAAAGCCTGTGGACTTGAGGCATTTTGGAGTTCATTTAGTCCTTAAAGTTCCAGGTGATGCCAATAAACAGGTAGGTTTAAGACCCCTCCTCCAGCCCAGTTCAGTTGTGTGCAAAGGGTGGTCTAGCTAAAACCAGCAGGGGCAGTATGCCGCGAGTGGTGACAAGAAATTCCCAATCTCATCCCTACCCCAAATGTACTGAACCAGGAACTGTGGAGGTGAGGCCCAGCTATCTGGGTTGCAACCATTGTCCAGGTGATTCAGATCCTGGCTCAAACATAAGAACCTCTGACTGTAGTCCAGGGTCTGTTGCTCACTAACCGGGCAACTTCAGGACTAATCCTTAAGCTTCTCATCTGTACAATGGGAATCTTGCATCAGTGCCAAGCCAACCCAACAGTATTTTTTGTGTATGGTGGGGATGATTCTTATTTATTTTTTAATTGACAAGTAAAAGTTTTATATGTTTATAGTATACAATGTGATATTTTAACATATTCATCACAGAATGATGAATGAAGCTATTTATCATATGCATGAACTCCCGTACTTCTCTTCACCTTTTTGTGATGAAAACCCTTAAAATCTACTCTTAGCAATCTTAGCAATTTTCTAATATGTATTAACTATAGTCACCACAATAGAGCCTCTTGTGTACTGGGGATTTAGCTCAGTGGTTCTGGCACTGGCCTCACAAGTGCAAAGTCTTGAGTTCGATCCCCGGTACCAAAAAACAACAACAACAACAAAAAATAGATCCTCTTGTACTTATTTTTTCTGTTTAACTAAAGTTTTGTGTTCTTTGACCCACAATCCTTTTCCCACAATCCTCAAGAGTATTCTTACAAAGATGAACATGTACTTCATCGAGGGTTACATTTTGAGAAGGCCGCAAAGTTGGACACCTATAAAGTAGTATTAATAGTGGTAATCCTTCCATTCCTTCCATTCATTGAACATTCATCATGTTCCAGAGCCTCTTCATACATTATTTCACAGTCACTGCCACAAGCACGTGTTATGGATCATATCCTCAATTTTCAGATGACAAAACTGTAGCCTTGAGGATTGAAGAAGTGTTCAAGGAGACCCCACAGAGTTCAGATCTATAGTAGATGGACTAAGTAGTAGACTAA